ATCCGCTCTAACATGGCAGTGGAGAAGTTGCATCACACAATGAAGTCATTGCACATGAGAGCTTGCATCAACTACAGGTGATATGGGTGCATGCAGAGATGCTACCTGAGCACTTTCCACACTGTTGGTTGAGGTATCCTCATCTGCTGGCTAGCTCTGTTTGTGATGGCCACTTGTGTAATTACCCTGTCCAGGTGGCACGTATGAGTGCAAAAAAAAAGTCAAGACCTCCCCTTCACATTGATGTAGATTTCATGCATGAGTATTCACTAAAATATTTACCATTAATCTTTTTAAAAATGGAGCATTCTTTTGTAATAATCTTGTATTTCAAGCATCAGGTAAATTCAGAAAGAAAAAATATGTATCATCACAACTCTTAATCTCAGCATGATCAGCAATCCCACTGTGAACCAAACATTAAGGAAACAAGACAAAGTCCTGTGGAAAATCTCAGTCCAACAGACCAAGTGGTTTATTGCGCTTCGATGAAATAAACCGTGAACAAGCCAGGCTTGGGACAGTATAAATATATCCTTACCACTAATTCTCACAGCCATCATGTAGTGACTGCTATCACAAGGAGACAACTAAGAGGACAAACATGTTCCCTAATTCTAATTCCTCATCTCTAAAGGGAAATAACTTTTTTTAATTTCAGCTACCATTTATTTTGAACTAGGAATCCCTACAAGTTTGTCTCTGAAATAAATGCAGAGTTACAATTATACCACTGGACCATACAACATTTATATATTTATCAAAGCATACTGTTGTGACTCAGCGTCTGTCTCATGTACCTACTAGTAGTAGTAGAAGGAAACGAGGTTTGGAAGAGGAAGACGCTCAGCAACAGCTGAAGCGTATTAGAGACTTGTTCCTGGAGCCTACGGATGAGGAGGATTTCGAGGGGTTTACTCGCGAGGAAATGGAGGTGGAGGATTACCGCGGTGTAAAGCGAGTAGCATGCAGCTTGGATAGTGATGAGGGATCTGTTGCTAAACGCCTTAAAGATGTAGCTGATTGTGAGGAGTTTGACAGCGAAGAGGAAGAGCTGGATTGGACCAAGGTCCAGGAAGTGTTAGACGTGGTTAATGCTCCCACTTCTAGTGATGAGTTCCAGGGTTTTACTGACACTTGGGTTTCAGATACTACTTTGCAAGATGCAGTCCGAAGTACAGAATGGCAGCAATGGAGAAGTCGTGATTCACCTGTGGAAATGGATGTACCTGGAAGTGACTCCAGCGACTCGGATGAGATTTAAGGAGCAGTTTGGGAGCAGTCTAGTTGCAGAGTTCAAAGTGTCGTGTTACCGTGTGCCTTGTGTTTAACTCTTGCCCTGAGCTCCTGCTTACAGCTTCGTGGATTCCTGACTGTGTGGACGACCTTGCCGGAATTGGATTCGTGAGTCTTATCTCCTGCCCTGACCCTTGGACTGCCTGACCACTCTACGCTCCTGCTTATCCCTTGGTGACTTCGTTGGACCGCTCCTCATGCGGATTGATGTTCGCTGATTTGTTTGGATTTGGAATGGACTGAGTTTTTGCCGCTGACTTCAAGCCTTACTGCCTGTGTTATTGCTGCTTTCCTTTTCCCAGCGAGGACTGACTGGGACTTGGTTTGTTTACATTCTTGCTGGCTGCAAGCCCTTTTGTGTTTACCGCTCTGCTTTTAAGAGCCCTTTTTCTTATGTTAATTGACATTAAAGACCTTTGTTTAACTCCTTAACTGCTGTCTTGCTGGTCCGCCTGGGTCTTGACACATACCTACTGTGGCTTTCATGTTCAGGATGGGGAAAAATATTTTAAGAGTTCTATGCAGTTCTACTACATGGGCAGGCAATCAAATTCATGTTCCAATCGTTGACCAAAGATGAGGCAAGGCTAGTTGCCAGCTTGCCTATCACCTCCTCTATGTAAGAAGATTGCACAGGGCTGGAGAGAATAACTATAACTCTGATACTTCAATTACAAATGAATCACACAGCCCAACCAAAAAAATCTTGGCGTTTTGGTTTTTAAGGGCTGTTTTTGGGGTTATTTGGTGTGCGGATTCAGAAAATTATATATCATTTCATAAAAGTGGTGTCATGATTGTCTATGGGGGAGCAGATGCTAACTGGTAGATTATAGATTTTCTCCTTGGGGAGAAAAGCGGTGTATAAATGAAGTAAGTAAATAAATAATTACATTGTACATATCTCAAAAAACTAGAGCTGATATGGGGAAACTGGTGCCATTTGAAACACCAAAATGTATGTTGGCCGCCACTATTATTAATAAATTCTCTCTAGGCACTATTTCCATAACTTTCTTTTATATTTTCATTTGCAAGTCTTCAAGGAGAAATATGCCTTTTTTTGCAAGAACTCATACAGGAACACATAATAAAAGAGGATTAAACGTGCTCTTCCGTGTATCCTCAGACCACTTCCTCAAACATTTATACCACCAAGGCAGACAGTTGCCTGTCTCTTGAGACCTCCTTGCTCCCATTTTATTCCCTCCTTTAGAAATCAGAATATGTTTTTTAAAAAACCACAATGCTATTACAGCATCTTAGGCCAAAAGAGTTCTAGCAAAAATAATTTAAGAAAATTTGTAAGTCCATTCAAGACAAGAAGGACTCAACTGGTAGTGCTGCTAGTGGTACATGCCAAAATAAAGTCATATATAAATGCAAGACCATATTTGGAATACTCAAAGCACAATTTGTACTGAGGTGAACCATTATGGACCAGAGAAATTAATATTCTGAATTAGAGGAATGTGAACTTTTCGTGTACACACACTTCAAAAACTGACTACAGCAGTAAAAAGAATAAAAATCTAAAGTGGCAATCACATTCCTCAACTCCAAAGAACTCTGGTCACTGTGATTTATTAAAAGAGAACATTTAATGTTTTTCTAAGTGTATTTTTCCTCTATGAACAGCCTACTAAAAATGTTTGGTATGTGCTGATATAAACATTTTGGTCTGAGTCTGAAGGAAGCAAAGAAGCCAAAATCTTTCTTCCATTTTTCCCACAAATAGTAATGTTGTTTGGCTTGCTTCCAAGCTGTTTCTGCCACTTCACAAGCTCAGCTCTCCTATAGTTGTGCATTAACACATCTGCCTTTTCTTCTTCCTTTTAATTGATGTACGTGGTGAATTATAGGTCAATGTACTAACAGATATCTACTACTACAAAGATAAGTAAAAGTTTAAAAAGAAAGATCTTAAAAAGTGATTCAGTAGAACTTCTGTGCTGATATCATTTTAGAGGCAGCACTTACATGCATAAATATTCTTTGTCTAGGAATAAAATGTCATTGACACAAAAATGTTACTGTACACATTCTAAATTCAGAAAAACAAGTACAGGCAGTACCCGAGTTGTGAACAAGAGAGGTTCTATAGGTTTGTTCTTAAGTTGAATTTATTTGTAAGTTGGAAACATAAACATTTTTAAAATGTAACTCCAGCCCTCACTGCGGGAGAAAATGTAGGTCAAGAATAGGGCTCCACCGTCACCTACGTACCCACCGCCAGGACACCGAACTTGGGAGGACAATCTTTCTCGGACATCGAGGAGATTGCCTAAGTAAATAAGTAAGTTTTGGGTAGCATAAGGAAGTGTTAACACTCCTGTGGTGTTTGTTTTTGCTGTCTGTGCCCTTGTTCAGAAGATTTCACCTCACTTTCTGTCCTTGCAATAATTGGATTTTGAAATTGTTTGTCTTCTTGTGGAAACAAGGATTGATGATAAAACTTTAGTGGGGACACATTTTCCCCATGATAACACTTCCTGGAGTGATTTTTCCTTCCCAGAGATAGATTTCTCTCACTTCCTGTTGTCTTGTCCCCATTCTTAACTATAAATAGTTTGTAAGCCGTATGTTTGTAACATGGGGAACTGCTTGTATTCCTTGAAGATTTCCCCTGTAATTTATTTATTTATTTATTTACCTTACTTATATATGCAGTTGTTCAGACACAAAAGAAATGTAGTTAATTGCTATTATGGTTACCAATTCTTGGGAATGTGTAACCCAAAGGATCAATTTTGCTGTTCTAAACTATGTTACTACAGTAGGCCAAGCTGAGATGTTTTATCTTCTAGAACAGCGGTTTTCAACCTGTGGGTCCTCAGATGTTTTGACCTTCAATTCCCAAAAATCCTAACAGCTGGTAAACTGGCTAGGATTTCTGGGAGTTGTAGGCCAAAACACCAGGAGACCCACAGGCTGAGAACCAGTGTTCTAGAACTAGGTTGAGCAATCTCCATGGTTCCAGGAAACATTCTGAACCCACTCCCAAGAATTCATGAGACCCACAGCATGGAATGCAATAATTAAATTCCCCCTAAATGCCCAGGCGCAGCCATGAAAATTTAAACATACGCCTTCTTCTTTAAAGAAGATGTTTGCTTCTTTCTACAGAAATTCAGACCTTAGTAATGCATATTAAATAGAACAATTACTAAGATCTTCAATAGCACCGTAGGGGGGCAGAGTACCATTGCTTACTTTTCTCCAATGCAAAACTTCCTTTCTTTTCCTCCTCCATTAATCATGTACATACTCAGGGGAGTATTGTACAAAATAACATTTCAGATAATATAATCATACCCTGCATTTTATCCCACAAGATGTAAGAATTCTAGAATTTGGGGGGAAAGGCAGGGTATAAAGTGAGAGGTAGACATATAGAAAGATAAGCTGTAGTTCTGTATAGTCAGCTCTACTACACACCATACACAAAGATGACACATAATTTACAGTCACCTATTCCCTTAATATTAATAGCAAAAAAATGCCAATGACAATCTTGATCCCTCCAGATTCAATGTAAAAGATTGAATGAAAAGGTAACCATATAAATTAAATCTAGTATTTCTGCATAAGGAAATCTTAGTGGTATTTTCCATGATTTATTAATATACAGTTTGTTTCCACAGCATGGGTACATTTTTACCATAAGATACTAGATGCACATACAATATCTGAGTACTTCTTACCTCCCCAAAGGCTCCTCGGCCAATTACTTTCAAGATTTCGAAGTCTTCTTTATGTAGTCGCATCTGTTTCACTTTAGAAGTGAAAGGCTTGGCTGTAACAAAGGAAAATATCAGTCATTCTATAACAGAAATGTAATAATGGTTGCTACAACATACACAGCTTAAGTCAATATCTATTTAAAATTAATCTAAATTCCTTTTGTTATGTTTATCGTTCATATTTGAAATTTGGAACACTCTGCATTAATATTGTAGCTAAAATTTTATGTCTGCAGCTCTAAAAGATTGCTTGTTTCTAGAACAATTAGTATGCTTGCTTTAATCACCTGTCTCCTTGTCTTAACTAAATACTTAGTAATTAGATCAATTTTTCCAAATAAACACACATGTGTGTTTTAATTGTAATCTTGGGCGTGTCCTTTGTAAGCCGCTCCGAGTCCCCTAGGGGAGATGGTTGGCGAGGTATAAAATAAAGTTGTTGTTATTGTTGTTATTGTTGTTGTTGTTGTTGTTAGGAAAAACTGGCTGAAGAGAAAATATTAAATATTCCATCCCCTTACTAAATTGATAAAACACTTCAAGTCTCCACAGCCATTACAAATCGCAACTATGTAATACCACTCAATGCTATATATGGAGAATTACAAAACAGAAAGTGTTGCAGATTGTGAAGTTTTCATTTGCCCAGTTTTCAACCTGTCCTCTTTTACATTTGGATTGCAACAAAGGAAAAGTGGAGAAAACAAAACAAGCAAATTGTTCTTGGATCCTGTGCAAGAGTTAACATACACCAAGCCAAAAAATAAAGCTGCATGGAGCGCTGTTACCTTCCTATTGATCTACTCACATTTCTATGTTTTTAAACTGCTAGGTTGGCAGAAGCTGGGGGTAACAGTGGGAGCTTCTCCCCGGATATGAATCGTCGACCTTTCAGTCAACAAGTTCAGCGGCCCAGCGATTTAACTCACTTCGCCACTGGAGTCTCCCAGTGTTCAATAGAAGAAGACCGAAAAACAAAATGTAACTTAGCAAAGTAATCACAGAAGAAGCACACAGAAAGACTCAAAAGTATCAACAACTTCTTTCTGCTTTGCAAGCAAAATTATGAAGGTATAATCCATGGCATCTCCATTTAACAGAGTAATACACAGGTAACTGGGCCCCCTTCTACACTGCCATATAATCCATATTATCAAATCAAATAATCCACATTATCTGCTTTGAAATGAATTATATGAGTCTACACTGCAATATAATCCAGTCCAAAGCAGATAATCTGGATTTTATTTAGGGGTGTAGAATGGGCCAGGGAAAATCATTGTCAATGACTCTGGAAAACTCTGCTCGTCAAAACCAAAAATAGGAGGCGAAATAGATGAATAATTGGATGTTATATAGTATTATGCCTTCCATTATAAAGGTTACTAACTTGAGCATTCTATGCTGTAACTCAACAATTATTTGTGAATAATGTAGTTGCCACTGTGTGAACACCCTATATTTCCTTTCCCTTTGACTCCCATCTTTATGATTTTCCAACTCACCAAAGCTTATATATAGAAATCTGCCGACTGAAGTAACTATTTCATACCTCAAATGAAGTATACTATGACTATGAATGTTTAAAACATAATACAAATGGTTCCTCTTCACAGCATTACAAGAATTTGTTGGGTTTCTGCACCAAACATTGCCAACTTTGCCACTTGTCTTTGTGTCCCTTTCAACTGTTTGTCAACTTATAGCAACCTCATTAATTTTATAGGGTTTTCTTAAACAAGGAATCATAAGGTGTTTTGCCAGTTCCTTTCAAATATAGCCGTGGATGGGCAATCTTCCATCCATGTACTAACCTGGGCTGATCCTGCTTGGCTTCCAAGATGCAGAAGTTGAGGTGGCTTTATTATATTCTCTACTAATTGTTAAAAATTAGCCACAATTGCGCTTACTCATCACTGAGAAGGCTGATATGAATTAATTGTCAAAGGCTTTCATGGTCTCACTACCTCTGAGGATGCTTGCCATAGATGCAGGCGAAACTTCAGGAGAAAAATTGCCTCCAGAACATGGCCATATAGCCCGGAAAAACCTACAACAACCCACTGATATGAATTATTCACATCGAATTGCTTAACACATTCTTAACAAGGTTCTGGAGGTATCTCAGCTTAAAACATTGGTGGAAAAAGAAATATAATGCAAAAGTGGCCAAATAAAAAAGCTTTTATGGTATCATGACTTGGATGCTGTTGTTAACTCATTAAAACCTGACACTGCTTCAAAGTAAATGCAAAATACTCCTGAACTGCAGAAGGATAATGATAGCAATGTGTAAAAATAATCCATAACTCAAAACTATTTTTAAAATAATTATAGTACACCCTTCATATCTATAGTTCTGTATCCACAGAATCAACCATTCATGATTTCAAAATCCAAAAAGCAAACCTTGATTTTGCCATGTTATATAGGGATACCATTTTACTATGCTATTGCATCTAATGGGACTTGAGCACCAATGGATTTAGTATCCACATGAGAGGGTCTTGGAACAAACTGCAGCAGAGATCGAAGGCCCGTTATAGTATAATGAAATTGTTTTCATATGTATTAAACTCAAGTTAAATTCAAGTTACTCAAGTCTAAAATGGCACCTGACAAACTAAGAAGTCAGTTTTTCCTTTGATATTTCAATAATCCACATTCAACATGAGAAACTCTACAGAGAACAGCAATAGTACAATACAAAACAAAGGCTACAATAACCTGCAACTGACAGTGGTGCAAGGGACCAAGAACTGTAGTCTCCTATATATTCAGCAACATATAGATTACAGATGAAAAATCTGAAGAACGGGCACATTAATGGGGTATTCATCTGAAGGTTGGCCCAATTCCAGTTCACAAATGGCTTTCTCTTAATGACTAACCAATAATGGGAAACCTGGCCAAAAGGGAGTTGCAGTATTCAATTCTCAGAGTCATGTGAGTAAATGTTACTTGTTCTGCAGCAAACAAGGGTGTTCCCTGTGTAAATTCAACTACTGGAAAATATTTCTGTGGCCAAATTAGGTCATCACCATAATAACAACTTTCTCTGCTATTGCAAATCCACACATTCATTGAGTTTGATAACATTGGTAAAAATCTTTGTTATGAATTATGAACATCACTTGAGCTTATATGGGAAATGCAATGACCCAATCGTTATAGTAAGCCCTGATATCTTCATTTTTCTTGGAGAGTGGATTGTATTATTGAGCACTTCTAAGTTGTGGACAACTTTTCTGTTTTTCATATTTGTTGACAGTTTACTGTTAGAATTTGGGTGGATTCTGTCAATGATAATTGGAACAGCTCTCATAATCATATCATCATAGGCTATCAAGGATAATCTTGATGCTGGATCCATGACTGTAGAGACCGATTCTGGATCCGCAGAGTCGTTTGCCGTGACACACATTTCCAGATGGAAGGGAGTTCCAACAAGGGTTTGCTTGACACACCTTCCTCTTGGCACATTTCTCCCTTTCACCCCCTATTCATGCCTATGTTTAGGGCACCTTTTCTAGGTATCTCCCAATATGAGGTGAGCAGAGTGGATCCTAAATAGGGTTGCTTAGTCATGGAACTGCTGCCGAACTGCTCAATTGCCTCGGACCTTGAATTAGAATTACTGAATCCATATTCACCGCATCACTAGAAGCTCCCACATTTCACAGTTCTGTCCCCATCACCGCTCGCTGATTTCCATGGGACTTTTGTTGATTTCTTTTTCTTCTTTTTGGAAGAATGTGTTTTATGTGTGAAGATCAGTACATAGCGATCAACATACAGACTTCAAGAGAGAGGTTCTGATCCAGTGGCATGGTTAACATGACGACCAGTGAACTCTGATCTTCTATATCTCTTCATTGTTTGGGACAATAGTTCTCTTTGCTCCTGCATACAAATTGTTGAACAGTTGCGTTCAAGGTTCTAACTCTATTTCATCTTTTATTTTTTGCTTCTTCATCAGTCTTAAATGCTTAATGTCATTCAGTAGGATTTGTCTTTCTTTTTGTCTAGATAGATAGATATAATGCATAACTTCCTCACCGTGTCTCTGGCTTCAGTCCAAAGGGTTTTTTTGGGGTTTTTTTGCATCTATTCAGTTAGGTTTACCACTGTAAATCTATTTTTTTATATTATCCTTAAAATAAAAAAGGATGTTCTTCAAGTTGCATGTTGGCAAAATGACACATTTAGTGTTCTTCTTTAGCTTTACTCTAAAGTTTGGTATCATCGGTTCATGTTCTATGCAACAATCTCATCATCTTGTTTTTGAAGAGAGACTCAATTTCTCCATCTTTTGATTCCAATTATATAGAGTATCTGATTTGTATGTTTGTCACCAGGTAATGTCCATGTAAACAATAACCTTTTTGGTTGTCAAAATCTTGATCCAAGGCCAAATGCTTGCTTTTCTACTTTTGCATTCCAATTGCCTATGATTACCAACATGTCCTATTTTGGTGTGTGATTAATTTCCTCCTGGACTACAGTATAATCGTCGTTGCTGCTGCTATTATTATTATTATTATTATTATTATTATTATTATTCCTACTACTACTACTACTACTACTACTACTACTAATCTATCTTTTCCCCAGATGGGGAAAAACAACTTTTTAAAACCTAAGATTACACAATAAAAACATACACAATTGAACTGCCCACATGAATTACAGTTTTTTTACAATAGCATATGTGACCAAATATCATCAGTGACAAAGAAAAATCTATTACTAACTGTTCCACTGAAAATGAAGTATTTTAATAATGTAATGAAATAAAATATGCTATGTAACCACACATGTTTGTGAGAATTATAAAGAGGGTAATAAACAGGAATATGTTACATTATCAGATATTGTTTATATTGTGTTCAGATTAAATTTATTCTTTTGTGTAAAGTCTTTGTGAAATTTGGGTGAAAACATTACCTACCAGACCTGTATTATAATCATATTGAACAAGATTTAAAAAACAGCTTTGTACAAAAGGATACATATGGGTAAGGATTAAAGTATTAGGAGACAACTGCCACTG